ACATTAATGAGGAAAAAAAATTAACTTAAATGATTTTAGCAAATGGCTGCAATATAACAAAGAGTGAAAAATTTAAGGGGGTCTGAATACTTTCCGTACCCACTGTATATATATAATTGTAATAATTTACTAATTATTATTTAAAATATAAAAAAATACATCTTGAATTGTTTATTTTTCCTACCCCAAAAAATCAAAACCTACTGTATACAAATGTCTTATTTGAAGAATGATTAAATTATTTTCCTGGAAAAAAATACTTTTTTTTTAAATAAAATTATTTTTGCAATGTGTCAAGCATTTTAATGTAATAACTACATGCCACACAAAGATCCAGATCTGAAATGTTTACCAGAAAGATTTCTTTGTCTACAGAGAGTTTCAGAGCTAGCAGAATTCAACATTTGGCATCTTACCTCTTAACTTCACTTTCTTAGACCGGGAAAGCATGGACGATCGATCAAATGTCTGAAAGATAGTAAATAAATACAATATTTAAATAATTTCATGCTGCGTCCCTTAATCTTAAATGATATATATACATTAAGTTGTCTTCAGCACACTCACAAGATAGACAGATGAGGTTTCAGATGTGGGTGTGGCCAGTGAGTCCTGCTGCAGCATGTCAATCTGCAGGGTGGGGACTAGGGCGTAGTGGGCGGGGCTACCACCTTTCTCACTTTTCCTTCTACTACGCCGACTACTGCGACGTCCAGTGTGGTACTCCTCTGTCCCTGCCTTGTCCTCACATACATATCGCAGCAGGGAGTTTTCTGTTAATAAACGTGTGGGATTATGAAACTACATGCTGATTATAAAATGGGACAAAGCACATTTTCAATGCACTGTCTGTTTTTAAAATTTAATAAAGCAGTTTTGATTATGCCTTTTAAATAATGTAATGGTTAGAGTTGAAATCAAATTATTCAGAGGTCTCATGATTAAAGAATACGGCTGAAAGATGCTGTGTTGCACATGTACAAATTTGATATAAATTCTGCCAGCGTGACTAAAGAAAGTATTCTCTCTGCTCCCACTCCTTCAGCAACAGAGCCTGGCCTCAACCAATGAGAAGCCAGCATCTTGGCAAGACCTTTATGTTGGAGTTACCATGGCAATGCAAAACCAAAAAAATCCCAAAATCTCAAAGAGCCAGCGAGATACTGGCAGACAGATCCCAGAGCAAATGAGGTAAATGTAGGGGAGACAGGGACAATCTGAGCACAATGGCCAAAGATTTTAAAATGTGCCAATGGGGAGGTCAGGGATGAAATCAGTGATGAAATCACTGCTTCAGTATAACCTAAGGAAAAGATATCAAAACAACATCCTCCTCAATGCTCATCCACCCACATACAAACACACACACCTCTTCTGATCTCTTTCTTCAGCTTGGCGGGATCTTCATAGTCTCCAACCCAGTTATATTCTACGGGCATGGAAATAGGCCTCAGCCGTCCTAGTACACAAGCACAGAGAAATCGAAACAAAATCAAATAATACATTACAGCACAATACACATATTGGGCCAGGAGTAGAAGATTAAGTATAACTTAATTGTTAAAGGGGTCATATTATGTTGCTAAAAAGAACATTATTTTGTGTATTTCGTGTAAAAAATTAACTTGAAATGAATTATTGTTTCTCCTCTATGCCCCGCCTTTCTGAAACACGTCGATTTTTACAAAGCTCATCGGTCTGAAAAGCGAGGTGTGCTCTGATTGGCCAGCTATCCAGTGCGTTGTGATTGGCTGAATACCTCAAGCGTGTGACGGAAATGTTACGCCCCTTACCATACTGTGATGCCCTGTCAGGCCGGAGCGACGAGACAAAAACGCCATTTTAATGTAATGTACGTAATTATATACAGTATATTCTGAGTTGCAGATAAAAACAGCCTGCAAAGACCAAACCATTATACCATTAGAAGAAAGCATGTACCATATGTAGGAGTGCTGTCCCTGCGTACGGGTGGAGGGCCCTGATTCTGATCATACTCGTAACAGTACAAGACCGCATCCTCATCTAACAGGGGGAATCGCCTCCGGCACTCCTGATCCATGAAGGAATTGGGCGAATCAGAACCTTCAGCGGCCTGCTGGCAGTTGCTGGTCAGATTTCCTATGTCGTCTCTGCAATGGTAAGTGAAATGTTTTATAATCTTTTGCTCCACAGATCTTAAATGCGAACTAGATTTTGACCGTTCCAAAAGATAAATGATTTCCGGTGCAAAAATCACCACCACAGTGTTACAATACAGTTGCTAAGGTTTCTTGTTGCTTATTGGTTGAACCAAAAAGATCCATCTCCAAATGGTCTCATGATATTTTGCTCTTTATGGCTTGATATATTTCGCTTGAAGAAGTCTGGGGTCAGTAAGATTTTCTTAAATAAATTTCTAATTTTATTTAGCAAGGATGAAATAAACTGATCAAAATTGACAATAAAATAATTTAAAATATTTAACAAAATTCTACTTTAATTAAATACTGTTAATTTGAACTTCTATTCATCAAAGAATCTTGAAAACAAATGTATCTCGGCTTCCACAAAAATATTAAGGGGTACAGCTGCTTTTAACACTGACAATAATAAGAAATATTTATTGAGCACAAATCAGCATATTAAAATGATTTCTGAAGGATCAATGACACTGAAGACTGGAGTAATGGCTGCTGAAAATTCAGCGTTGCCAACACAGGAATAAATTACATTTTAAAATATATTCAAATAGAAATGTCACAACATCACATTGTTTGGACTTTGTTTGTATCATTTTCTCTGTCTAGTTAGTTGTCATGGTTTCTGATTTGAGTTCTTCATTATGTTCAGGTGTGTCTTGTTAATTATCCTAGTGTGGTCTGTATATTTAAGTTCCTGTCTGTTCAGTTTGAGTTTGTCGGGTATCGTCAATGTTATGTGTGTCTCCTGCCTTCTCTTGCTTGGATTTACCTATATGTGGATTTATTAAAGACTGCTTATCTTCATCTTTGTCTTTGTGTGTGTTCATCGACACGGTTACGTGACAAGAAAACAGTTATTTTAAATGATAATATTTCACAATATTACTATTTAACTTTTTTGATCAAATAAATGCAAACTCGGTGAGCATCAGATACTTCTTTTAAAAAAAAGTCTTACTGACCCTAAACTTTTGTACTGTTCTCAAAAAGTGCATGTTGAGGGGGTTTTCATACATATATATATACAGTGTGCATCTGTGTACTAGTTTGTGTTGTAATACTGCACCTGGGTGTGTATAGCTCATCTGGGGGAGGGGGGATGAAGAGGTCCTGTAGAGTGCAGCTGTCCCGTCTGGATGGGGTACTGAGAGTGCTGGATGGTGTGGCCATGCTACTGCTGGGGCTGGGAGGAATGATGGGCTAAAAACAGTGGTACAGTTAGCTTTAGCATTTCTAACATCCCTTAGGAAAGTTGTTCAAATACGCTTTTGCGTTTTGATGCAGGCCATTTTCAAGTTTACTTTTTAACTTGTCAGTAAAGAGTGCTTTCATTATTCATAATTTCATAGCAGGTAAAGAAACACATAAAAAGTGTACAAATGTCCTCTCCATTTCACGCGGATATATGAAATACATAAGGTACATGACAAATATTATCAACAAATATCAACAATAATAATATATAGTAATTTCCCTAGAAATGAAGCACTCATCCCAGTGGTGGAATATCTGACCCTTGTGTGTCTGTGGAAGAAGAAATGCGAAAAGAAACAGCATCTATCTCATTTAGGTGTTCAGTCATGCTGATTCTGTGTCCTCTTGCTTTTATGTATTCAAAACACAAAACACGGCTTTGGTTTTGTGTAAATAAAATGCCTTCTCAGTGTCTTCAGCTTTGCTGTTGTCATGACAATCAGTGTGTCTTGTTCGCTGTCAGCTGTGCAATCGAAACGGCAAAGAAGAAATAAATATGTGCAATTTATATACTGCACAGTCAAGCGTCTAAAATGACATTCCACGTTTTCCTCTAAGGGCCACAGTAAAGCTTCCTGATGTGCCGGCGCTTCAGTGGAGCAGCAGAGGAGATTGAGGAAGGAGGGATAAGCACCAGATTAGAGGTAAAAAGATGAAAGAGAAAAAAGGGAGGTTGGTGGGTGGGGGAAGAGTGGAGCGAAGTTTTGCCATGCAATATAGCTGCTAAAAAAAGAACAGGCACAGATTGGGGGACTACGCCACGCCATATCATCAATGCCCACACACCACTTAATCCTCGTACTGCACACATCCCATCAGTACCTGCAGGGCGAGGGGCTTCCATCTCATGTTCTTGAGTAAGGCTGGGGCTGACGTGAGAGTGCTTTGAGGTCGTTTCTTTAGCGTGAGGGTCACACCTGCAGGATTGCTACGTAAAGAGTTTACTAGGTTCTTCAGCTGCCAGCCCACCTACGCAAGTCAAACACACGTGTTCACCTCATAACACAACACAGTCAGAAAAGAATTCAAAACATACCAGCATTATGTCATCTTGTTAACGGGGTCATTCTTCATGTCCCCACCATATACTGCACGTCTTAATATATTGGTTAAATCATTAAACGAGATGGAAAACTATACACTTTACCATTCAAAAGTTTGGGGTCAGTGAGATTTTTTAATAAGAAGTCTCTTATGCTCAACAGTAAAAATAGTAATATTGTGAAATATGAAAATAATGTAAAATAAATTCTGTCTATTTGAATATATTTTAAAATATAATTTATTCCTGTGCTAGCAAAGCTGAATTTTTGCAACCATTACTCCAATCTTCAGTGTCACATGATGCTTCAGAAATCATTCTAATATGCTGATTTGGTGTTCATGTAACATATTATTATTAATGTTGAACAGTTGTGCTGCTTTTTGTGGAAACTGTGCTATTTTTTTCAGGATTCTCGGAAGAATAGAAAGATCAAAATAACTATTTGAAAAACATATTTTTTGTAACAATGTAAAAGTCTCACTGTCACTTTTGATCAATTAAATATGTTGTTGCTGAAAAAAAAGTATGAATTTATTTTTTAAAAAAAAACTACAAACTTTTAAATGGTAGTGTACTTCCAATATGAAAAACTAAATTTATTAAAAATTTACATACATTCAGTCTTTTGTGAATATCACTTAAACTAACAACAATCATCCTCCAGGTAGTGACATCATTTTTGTTGGGAAAATAACAGCACACCATCAGACAACTTCAATTTCATGTATATTTCATATCATATAAATTTCAAGTCAGTCCCTCATTGACCAGGAATGATCTGGCCATGTTATCAGTTATAGGGTAAAATTATTGTGTGCGATAGATACACTCACCACTGTCTGATGATTGACCTGTATGACCTCATCACCAGCATGGATTTTCTTACAGCGGTCAGCTAGCGACTGAGAGAGGGAGAGAAAGAAAGCCATTGGATTCCACATGAGAAAACACAATTGTTTTTATAATTACATGTACTACCAATGTTCTTTCTTCAGCTGAACTGTCCATGCATGTCATATTGAGATTGTACTGAAAGATTGAAAATGACCACTCACTCCCTCTGTAGTGCCCGTGATGACATGTAGGCCATCATAGGTTGATTTGATGTACATGCCCTAGGGCAAGGAGAAAGACACTTTAGAGCCATTGCCTGAAAATATCGGACACATTCTGGGAAAACACTGAAAGAAGCTTGCTGACATGACATGCAAGCACAAATCCTCTCTGACACACAGCCTCATAAAGAAGAGATATAGGGGGAGAGAGGGAGGGTGTGTGAATATTTATTTTTATCTCTATTCAGGCTTTATTGAGCAGATACTGACAGTGTCAAGTGTGTCTATATGTAATTGTCCAAATGTTACTGCCCGAAGCTCATTCAAACACAACTACCAGAATACCATCTATCTATCTATCTATCTATCTATCTATCTATCTAACTATATCAGTCTTTAGGAAGTAAAAAGAAGTTCAATTTTGAATAATTAATACATTTAATTAATTACTGAATAAATGCAGCAAATTAGTCTTAATAATATATTTTTCACCATCTTAAAGTCGTTTTGATGTTTTGTAGACAAATATATGGGAACTCCTTTAACACATCCTTGCTTGAAATCTCCTGAAGTTTGTGCATAAGGAGGAGAGATGAGAAATCTAGGCATCCTGATACCCACCAGTCCCTCTGTGGACCTTATGTTGTCCAGCTGCACCACTTCCAGATGGGCAGCCTGGGACACCATGGGGTCCGAAGAGAGGGAAATGATGTGGTCACACACGCCTGACAGTGTCTTACACTGAGGACAGAGAGAAAGAAAAGTGAGAATAAAGAAGTTTAAGAATGTTAGATATCTTGACCAAGAGAGGCACAGAAAACGTCTCCTAGCTGAAGCTGCTAATGGGCTTCAATATGCTGATGATTTTGTTGCATGTTCACCGCGATGCTTCGTAAACACCATCTGCGTTGAGACCGAGTGTCGCCAGGATGCACCATATTATGATGTAATCATGTGACCAGGATGGTCTCATAAGCATAAATTTCTATGATCTTGCTGTCTTCTTTGAATTGATCCGTCCAATCACAATTCTCCCTCAATCTGCTGCTGGTGACTAACCAGTGAAGGTGTTCCTGCTGTTGCAAAAGGAAACTCTCTCTCTCTCTCTCTCGCTGTCACTCTGACACGAAATGTGGCCTGTCCTGGTATTTATAGCGGAGAGCCAGCTGTACCCTGACTGACACTGCAGCATGGGCTAGAATCCTGAATCAAATGTGAATATTTCTCTCTCACTCACCTCACACAAACACACACACTCTTGCTCTCTTTTTCTCACTTTGACACATATTTCTATTTTTGAACAGAGGAGCTAGATAAGGAGTTTTATGTAAATGAATAAAGAGGTTGTGTGAAAATATAAATGTCACTCTTACCACATGCAGTATCTTATTTTCTGTCTCATACACTGTGCCGTCCTAAAACACAAGAAGAGAAAATGTTGTTTTAACAATTACATTTTAATACCATTTTAATTACATTATAGATATGAAGTTAAATTCATAATATATTTCATTTATAACACAAACAAAAAATTGTTCTTAATCAGTGTTTTAATTTAGTTTTCCAGTAAAAAAAATCTAAACTTACTTTAAACTAAGAATAATTTATATAATAATAATTGTATATTTTTAAATATTTTAATAGTACATATTATATATAGTATTTAAAATTAAGAATATATTTACTATGGATTGTTAATCTTTATTACTCCATTGCAAAAAGTTTTTGTTTTAAGCATAAAATCATTAAATTATATTCACTTTATGCTTACAAGAAAAAAAAACTTAAGTCAACATATATTCTCTAAAAACAAGCCTCCTGGTGCAATTTAGTTGTTTTGTAGATATTTTTACTGGAAAGCAAGAAAGATACTAATTATTTTTTCCTGTAATGTTATTTAATACTAAATGATTAAATAATGCTTTATAGTTAATGTTCATTCATGTCATGAAACTTTGATTAATATATATTCAAATTTGAATCATCAGGACTATTACATAATATTTGCTATGGCATATCAACAAAAGTTATAAAATGCTTCCCAGTTATGTTATACTAGCTCATTATATAATTTCTGCTCTAATGGGTAAGCACAGTTTTGGGATATCTCAGTTGGCAAGCTGAGCCTTGCTTGTAGGACACAGGGAAAATTGTTTTTGTTGTTGTTGGCACCGTGTCTTGCACCTATCTGAAATAGTCAAAGGCAGCGTTCTCTGTCTTGAGCAGACAGCTGAGGAGGAGATGAGTCATCCTCCCACACTGAACCTGGTGCAACACTTTTCCTCTTCCTCCTCTCATTTGCTCATTTCCTCCACTCTCCATCACTATGCTTAACAGTAGATTTCCAGCCTGTGGCTGAAGGAGCTCGGGGAGCTCGACTGGCCGCACACATGATTAATATTAAACATATTGGGAATCTCCTTTAGCACGCAACCAACACATCACAGGCTGATTCAAAAGAGAGTAAATAAAGCTTGAGCGAATACATTAGTGTTTAATTAAGAGAGAATAACTTTATGTAAAGTTTGAATGTGTGAAAGGCCCTTCAGAGTGAAGACGATACAACATGAGACTTGCAAGCTGTGGCATTTTTACACACACAGACTCATTTCACAGCAAGTATCATTAAGAGCAAATTCTACAAGCCTTCATATTTCTGTATTTCATATGTTCTGGGACACATCGCTTTTCTCCCACCTGGGAGAGTCTGTCCTCGCCCTCAATGGCCCATACCAGAGCAGCACTATTTCAATACAGGACAGAAAATTGAGAAGGAGAAAAAACACCCATGGCCTCCTTTTAAAGAACCTTCTGCCCTAGAAACTTTACCCTGCTTTCCAAGCATTCTCAAAAAAGACATTTCAGTCCTAGAGTGCTAAAATATGGCATGACACTGGTGTAGGTGAAATGAAGAAAATAGACTTAAAGGGAAAATTCTGTAATTTACTTGCCTTCATGTTGTTCTGATTGCCACAATAAATATCATGCCCAACAACCTTCAGCAAGCTATAAGCTATAGTTTTAAACAGTAAGAAGATAGGTAAATAATATCTAGGTATAGGTATTTGATGTATCTATCTATCTATCTATCTATCTATCTATCCACACACATATTTGTTTGTGTGTATAATTACCTAAACAGTAGACATTTTTATTATATATATACATACATTTTTAATTTGTATTATTTCTTTTCTCTAAAGTTTTCCATCTGTTACACTCTAAAAAATGCTGGGTTAAATACAACCCAGTGCTGGGTAAAATAAGGACAAACCCAGCAATTGGGTTGTTTTGACCCAGCGGGCGGGTTACTACCCAGAAGGTTGGGTTAAACATTTAACCCAATCGCTGGGTCAAAACAACCCAATTGCTGGGTTTGTCCCTATTGTACCCAGCACTGGGTTGTATTTAACCCAGCATTTTTTAGAGTGTACGGACTACTTTCATTATACTTTTACGGTGCTTTGGATTTTTTTTTTTAAAGCTTGACAGTAAAAAAAATCACTATCCACTTTCATTTAACAGAAACTTAATTGAAAGCAAAACGAGACGGAAGAAAGAAAACAAAAAAATTAATTCTGGTGTGAAATATTTCTTAAAAACACAGTGTGTTTTTACAAACACATAGTGTTATGTAATAATCTGAGTGTTTGAGTCCATACCTGTTGAACTATTGTGGTCAACTCCAGACACAGCTGAATCACATTATTCCTGGTCATGGAGTAGTCTGCCACGGCAGCGAACGGAGACCTGATGAAGAAGTAACACCTGCCATTAACCATTAGACCACTTCTAATCACTACCACATTTTGTGTCTAACCTTCCTTTGTCTCGCTGCACTGCCAAATGTGTCTAATTCAGGCAATGCAGGATATTCATGATGATGAATGAGAGCTTAAAGGAGGTGACCCAAGAAGGATGTGGAGAGGGAGGGAGATGAAGATGAACAAAAACAGAGAGAGACAGACAGAGCTGAAAGCGAGAGGAGAGAGTGGATTTCTCACTCCAGTGCACTAATTCACAGAGGCTCGGGCGGCAGAAGGAAGCTCTGCTCACGTGCTACATCATACAGACTGCAAAGATCACTGTCTTTCTATCACCATCAGAGTCTTTAATTTAAACCGTGCTGCTCCCTTTTGTGGCCATAATAACTGATAGAGCACTGAATTTTCATCTTTCATCAACATTTTATTTTCTATTATTTCCTATATTAGTAATGTATTTACACTTCTGTCCAAAAGTTTGGGGGCCAGTAATTTTTTTATTTAGTATTTCTTTATTTTTTTTGCATGAATGAAATCATACTTTTATTCAGCACAATAAATTAATCAAAAATTACAGCAAAGAATTCTATTTAAAATAAATGCTGTTTTTGTGAAGAATCCTGACAAAATGTATCATGGCAACTGTTTTCAACACTGATTGAAATGTTTCTTGAGCACCAAATCAGCATATTAGAATGATTTCTGAAGGATCATGTAACACTGAAGACTGGAGTAATGATGCTAATAATTCAGCTTTGCCACCACGGGAATTAATTTTTTGAAAATATATTAAAATAGAAAACAAGTGTGCATGCACTGTACAAGTGTGCGTGTTTTCTTTCGATGTGTTTCATGACACATTATCATAAATGGTGCAAAACACCCATCTCCTGCTTATAGTTTCAGTCAACTTAATTTGTTCTATATTGGTTCACATGAAACTTGTATGTGAACAATCCAAATTAACCATATCAGATAACTAGTGTGACTGACCCAAAACATCGACTAGCAAAATAACTAATCAACTAGTCGACTAGATGTTGCAAACAGTATCACAGAAATCTTCTCTACAGAAGAAAGCACATGGGCATCGTTTATCTTAAAGGGGTCATATGATGCGATTTCAATTTTTCCTTTCTCTTTGGAGTGTTACAAGCTCTTGGTGCATAAAGAAGATCTGTAAAGTTGCAAACACTAAAGTCTCAAAACCAAAGAGATATTCTTTATAAAAGTTAAGAGTTAACCACGCCTACCTAAAATGGCTCTGTTTTTTGAACTTTAAACTGCATAAACACATTTCATTACACCAAATACACAAAATAATGTTCTTTTTAGCAGTATCATATGACCCCTTTAATGAGTGCACTGAGCGCACATATCTGACTCCAGGGTTGTTATCTTACACTTATAATAAGATTGTAACAAACGAAAGTTGATCACCCAGGACTGCACTCTTGCTGTCATCGTGTCTGGTGAGAATAAATGAGGGAGACCCAGAGGCCAGGAATATTCTAGGGAGATACAGCAGCAGATTAATTGCACTCTGGAATTATGAGTGTGCGGTTACACAGTAGACTTGGCGTACTGCACTAATGAGGAGGCATGGCCAGCTAAAGCATCAGCTGATGAAGGAATTAACGCAAACCCACAAAATGCGACCTCGCGCACACACTTGAGAGATAAACAGAAGCGCTTAGCAGGCACGCTGGCTGCTTTCAGGGCCAGCTCCTCCGAAACAGAAGAGACTTACGTAAGCGCTTTACTCATCTTTTGTTTGTCAGCTGATTGCTCATGGGTGTTACATAAGGAAATCGGCGTGATCGTGTCATCTGTGGCCTCTCGCATGACCTCACTGATGAGTTCGAAACAATGGATCCTTTTAGATAAGATAAGGGGTCATGTGACCGTACGCATGGTAGATAAAGGAACGGGATCACTAAGGCTGCTTTGATTGAACTTTGTGTTTGCTAAATACAGGAGCCCTAAGAGACACTTTTGGACGCTGTGAATTTATGAATTTAAAACATCAAATAAAAATGAATGTGTGAATAATGTGTTGTTTTATCATCAATAAAGTATTTTTTATTTGCAAAAATATGTGCTTGTGCTATCTTTCTTTAAATACCATTTTGATATTTAGTATTTTGTGAAATAATGCAAAAAACATCCATAAATTAAGTGTGGCTAAAGCTTTTATTATTAGCTTGAATTTTTATATTTTTAGTTTTAATTTTTTGTAGTTTAAGTAATTGTGTTAAGGCTTTTATCATTTTTATTAGTTGTTTATTAAATATTTCTAATTAATTTTCTATTTATATCAGTTTAAGTAATTTTAGCATTTCAACATTTTTTTCAGTTAGTTGCCAATGCAACATTTCGAATTTTTGTATACGTTTTTCATCTCATGTTTATATTTCATTTTCAATTAACAAAAACTACTTTAAATAGTTTTAGTTTTAATTAACAATAATTAAACAATAATAATTAAAACAATAATTAATCATTAAAGTACTGGTGTTCAAATACTTTTAGGGCCACTATATATGCAGCTGCACAGTTTAATTAATTTGAAAATGTGTCTGTAGATATATCTGTGTTTGTTGTGGGCTGTGTTTGTGTCTCTTTGCAGGACTAACCTATCCAACCAAGCCAGCAGGCTCTTGGCGGCAGCGATGAGGTCCACTACAGAGGTCAGAAAGTCATTAGGAAGTTTTCGGGTGGCTCTGCCGTCATAGTGACCGCCCCTCCGCCGGCCCGTTATGAAGTTCTGCAGGTTCTTGGCTGACGCGTTCAGCTTATGGGTCAGAGTCTTCAGGTTCTCTGTTTCTAGTCCATAGTTCTGAATAAGAAAGAGAAAGTGAGACCATCACAATCTCCAAGAAACAGCTAAAGACAACTTTTTGTAAGCATGGCTAAACTATGACAATAAAAAAAGCCATTTCCCATAAATAAATCTCTCTTTTCTCTACTTTATAGAATTTTCACTTCTGCTCCAGCTTCTGTAATACTGTAGCGTGCTCTTGAAACTCTGCAATGTGGTACTGCATATATTTTTGGCTCCTGTCTTCTGTGACAAATTGCTTGTGATGTTCCACATTTGTAAGTCGCTTTGGATAAAAGCATCTGCTGAACGATTAAATATACATGTAAATGTAAATGAAACGGAGGGAGACAATGAAAGGGATTGGGTTAGCAAGTTAGGAAGTTAGGGTAAAGGGAAGGTCAGAAGCACTCTGTGACAGAGCCACAAGTTCACTGGGAAAAAAGTAGCTTGAGTGGTTTTAAATAATGGAGGAAAGAAAATGGAGAAGGAGAAAAGGGTCATTTAGAGGCACACAACTCACGCTATGTTAACACAATGTCGTAGTCCAAATGAAATTTACTAAATACCTTGCTATAAAAATATATATGAATATACAGTATATATATATATATATATATATGCTGTTCAAAAGGTTTGGGTTGGTATAAGATTTTTAAAATGTTTTTAAAATAAGTCCTTTATGCTCATTAAGGTTGCATTTATTGATCAAAATACATTAAAAACAGTAATATTGTGAATTAATACTTTTGTAATATATTTTAAACTGTAATTTATTGTGCTGGCAAAGCTGAATTTTCAGCATTGTAACTCCAGTCACACGATCCTTCAGAAATCATACTAATATGCTGATTTGCTGCTCAAGAAACAACTTATTAAAGGGGTCATATGATGCGATTTCAATTTTTCCTTCCTCTTTTGAGTGTTACAAGCTCTTGGTGCATAAAGAAGATCTGTAAAGTTGCAAAGACAAAAGTCTATTTCGTCGAATCCGCCGGCCGCGCCGTGCTCAAGCCCGCCGCCTCTGTTCACTCTAGCCCTCCGGCCGTTCCTCACTTTATCCCCCGGCCTCTGCTCACTCTAGCCCCCCGAGG